AGAAAATGTCCTCGACTGAGCTCCTAGGCCCAGTGCCTGGCACACAGCACGCTCTGTTCTCATGAAGACTCGTATTGCCGGCCAGGCCAATACGCCTTCAGGGTCACAGATGTCCAGCCAGAATGAGGCTAGGCTTAAGGACAAGAACTTGAATAATCTGTAGCCACTGTTAGGGGACGACCCCACCCCCTGCACCCACCACTGAGGGGCAGGGCGCCAGTCCGGTTGGGTTTGCCTCTTCCCCCCAAGCCCATGTAGTGGTCCCGCCTGGAAGGCTTCTGCAGTGTCCCCAACGTGCTTGCCCATTTCAGTGCTGTGCATTGATGAGGCTGTGCTTGGCCGGGAGTCTGACCTGGCTCCTGCCCCCCTCAATCCCGGCCTGCAGTGGTACAGTGCAGTGCAGGCCCCCAGGCCCAAGCTATTCCTCTGCTATGGTTCCCCTCCGAGTGGGTACTTCCAGCCGGTCCTCGTGCTCAGCTCTGGACTGTTGTTGAACCCCCTTTCCTATTTATTCTCCAGCCCTTCCCCCTTGTCTGGGTGTCTCCCACCATCCCTGGGACACTGCACAGCTTGGCAAATGTCTTCTGGAGGGAGGGAAGTCAGAGAGGACGTGAGAGTGAGACGGAGGCAGAGGGAGTCCGCTGAGAAGTCGGGGCACAGCTGTGGCCTGGCCATCCTTTACAGGAAGCGCAGGCCTTCGGCATCCCTCCCAGAGGGACCCGACTCCCACTCCAAGCCCCTCCTCCTTACGCATCCTCATTCTAGGGAACCAAGGTGAGTAAGATGGGGCAATCACCTGTGCCTCCCTCCTGCTTTTACAAATGAGGACACGGAGGCTCAGAGAGGTTCGGTGGCTTGCCTGGGATCACCCGGCAGGGGCAGGTGGCTTGGTCCCACTCCATCCCAGGGCTCTATTGTTCCAGCCACCCTGATCCTCTCCAAGCTGGCTGGGGCTCTGCTGCTGCTTTGAAGATTGAGAAGAGGGGACGCCCCCAGCCCAGAGGCCACACCAGACCCCACCAGGTGCTGTCAGGAGCTCAGGCCCTTGCTGGCTCTCCCTTCTGTCTCTGGGTGCCCGAATATACCCATTGCCACTACAGCCACTTACCTACTGCCCTTGTGCCCAGTTCAACTTGGCACGGAGCAGGCATCTGAGATACTTGGCGGTGAGTGCCTCAGTTTCCCCTTAGGGAATTTGCTCACTCCTTTCTCTTGGCAGGTAGGGTGAGGCTAAATTAATGTTTATTTAAGGGCTTCTGCATTCTGAGCTGACAGGTGCCTTGTGATGGTAAAATATGGACCCAGCATAAGTGCAGAATGCGACTGTTGTACACCTGAGGGTGATGTTTCCTAATGACGACGCACTGTCAGAGCCGTAAGCAGAAATGGATGGTTTGTCTCGTCCTCCTCATCTCCCCCAGACTCAGCAGACAGCAGCTCGCGTTCCAAGGTGGGAGAAATATGAGGCTACTCACCTTCGGCTATAAATCTGCCGTTTCATCAGCTCTGACAGGTGGCTGGACAACCCTAGTCAATTCATCAATTAAATGTACCCATTTGTAGTGGCTGGGAACCCCGTGTCCTTGGCTCTGGCAAGACTGGAGGCCCAGGAGTGTGGGAAGGCTGCTGTCACGAGGGCCATGTCTCCTGGTGGGAGCAGCGGGGGCCTGGGGAAGGGGCGGTCTAGGCGGCCAGGAGATACGGGGATGAGGAAGGTGCATTTGGGGTAGGACTGGGATGAAGGAAAGCCAGTCGGGGCCCAGCCTGGGAAACCCAATTTTGTGCTTTGACTTAATAGGATGGAGTGAGCAGGGCCACCCTCTGCCTCCTGTGGATGCCAAAGCTGGGTTTCAGTCCCAGCTCCAGCCCTCGCATATTGTGTGACTTTGGCCAAGTTAGTTAACTTTTGAGTCTTTATTTCCTTGTCTGTAAAGTGCAAATAATAATGCCCCCACCCCGGGAGTTATGACAGTTAAATAGAATACCCACACCACATGAATGTAGCATCGACAATGGCGCGGAGCGAATAGGGAAATCAGCAGTCACTGCTGTTCCTGCTGCAGGTCCTGTCCTTCCATGGGGCTGCGTCCTACCTAAGTGTTTAGCCGTCCTCTCCCGCACATCAGAAAATGCCCGGACTCCTCTCTGTCAGGGCTTTTTCTCAGCCTCTTAAGTCCATTTGTCAGGTACAAGGTCCAGTCATTCTGCACCCTGATGGATTTTGGCTCCCAAATCCCACGGAGCTGCCACTGTGAGGTTGTCTGATTAACTAGGTTGTCATAGAAAGCACCCAGGACCCCAGAGTGATGTCCCTGCTCCCAAAAGCTAAGGACTGCCTGAGATGACCAGTGTCCAGCGGGGGCAGCTCCCAGGGGGAGGGCGGGAGCACCTATCTGGATCCGCCTTGTCCTTGGCCAGCTCAAAATGGAGGGTGGTGGCCAGGCCCCCTCTTTATTCCTGTGGCATGGTTAAGAGAGCGGCTCTGGGGTCAGACGGCCTGCCTGGGCATCCCAGAGCCCTCCCTTCCTGCTGGTGCAGTCTTGGGTGAGGGCCTTAGTTTCCTCATCCGTACATTGGGATAACAATAGTAAAACTTCTTGGGGCTGTTGTGGGCTTGAAGGAGGCCATGTGGGTCAAGTCCTTACAAGAGTGCCTGGCACCCAGAAGCTGCTTCCCTGATACTGGCCACTGCAGCTCTGTGTGGGAGTCTTCATGGATCCCCAGAGAAGCCTCTCGAAGCCTCAGTCTCTTTCTCACAAAATGGCACAATTGCTTCTTATTTATTGAAAAGGCAGAGTTGGGGGAGGGGGAGGGATGGAGAGAATGGGAGAGAGAAAGATCTTCCATCTGCTGGTTCACTCCCCAAATGGCCATAATGGCCAGGGCTGGGCCAAGCCAAAGCCAGAAGCCTGGAGCTTTATCTGGATCTCCCACGTGGGTAGCAGGGGCCCAAGGACTTGGGCCATCTTCCACTGCTTTCTCAGGCACATTAGTAGTAGGGAGCTGGATTGGAAGTGGAGCAGCCAGGACTTGAACCGGCACCCACGTGAGATGCTGGCACTGCAGGCGGTGGCTTAGCCCACTTCGCCACAGAGCTGGCCCCATGGCACAATTTCTTGATGGGGAGTGTGCTCTCGCCACCGAAAGTTGGGCATGTTTTGGAGCTTCTGAGGGTCCCCCCCCACAAGTGAATGTGCTCAGCCACCACCCCTGGGAGTGTCCCTGGGACAGCATGAGGGAACACAAGGCACGGACGCCCCCTTGCCCAGCTCCCTTGTGGCCACTAAGAGTGCAGTGCTTGGGGGGGACGGCAGATGCATTTGCTGCTAAGAGGACGGCCCTGCTGCCGCAGCAAGGAGCCCGAGAATGTGTTTTCCAGCGCGGCTGCTAATGGCTTCATCACGGCTTTTTATGAGATGATGTGAATTGCTCTGGCCAATGAGGCTTAATGGCCTTCCTCCACCAGCCGCCTGGCGTCTTCTCCCCGGAGGCTCAGCGCAGAGTTAAGCCAAGAATATTAATACGGTCCGGATGTGGGCCCTCCCCCTTGCCCATAAAGTTGTGGAAATTGAGGTCAAGTTGGGTCCCCTGCAACGTTCTTTAAACAAGCAGCAGAGTGGTTTGTTTGCTCCTTGGTCTTCCCGGTGGAGAGGGGATGGCTTCCAGCTGGAGGCCTGGGACCAGCTTCTCCCTTCCCCTGGGTTTGCTCCCACTGGCTTGGGGGTGGTCTTGTTAAAGGGGCAGGTTCTTTGGTGGGAAGAGCGGACCCCTGATACCACCATTCAGGGCTGCTGGGATGAGAGCAGGGAAAACCAAGGTCCTGGGCTGACGTGAGCAGGGCAGATGGCCTGTCTTCCCTGGGAGGCAGCCCTGTCATTGTCAGCTGTAACCACGAGGGCATCCTGGGATGCGGATGAGGGTGGGGGAACAGCCTGCCAGGGACTAACGGAGGGCGTCCCTGCAGTCTTGAGCAGCCTCTACTCTGTTTTTTAATTTTTTATTTATTTATTTTTTTTTTTTGACAGGCAGAGTGGACAGTGAGAGAGAGAGACAGAGAGAAAGGTCTTCCTTTTGCCATTGGTTCACCCTCCAATGGCCGCCGCGGCCGGCACACTGCAACCGGCGCACTGCGCTGATCCAATGGCAGGAGCCAGGTACTTATCCTGGTCTCCCATGGAGCGCAGGGCCCAAGCACTTGGGCCATCCTCCACTGCACTCCCTGGCCACAGCAGAGAGCTGGCCTGGAAGAGGGGCAACCGGGACAGAATCCGGCGCCCCGATCGGGACTAGTACCCGGTGTGCCGGCGCCGCAAGGCGGAGGATTAGCCTAGTGAACCGCGGCGCCGGCCCTCTACTCTGTTTTACAAATGGAAGAGCAGAGGATCCGAGCGGGGAGGCAGTGCCGCAGTCAGCTCTCATTGGGGCTAGGTTGGGAAGCTGGGGCTCTTGCCCCTAAGCTGAGATCCTACGTCCCCAGTCAGCCCTATGTGGCCTTGTCCAGGGGTCCAAGCCGGCTCTCAGGATCTCCTGCAGTTTCCACCTTTCTTAGCGGATCCCAGTCCCTGAAGCCTTCCTTGTCACTTAAGGTGAGGTTTTGATAAAAACCTCAGAAAAAAACACGAAAATCCTGCTTCGGAGCAATGGGCTCAGGTTTGGTCCTGTATCTCAGCTGTGTGCTCTGGGATGAGTCACAGCAGGGTCCCCAGCCCGCAGGGGTGCACAGTGGGTGCCCCCTGTTCAGGGAGCTCATTTCTCTAAGATGTCGGTGCCCCTCCTGACATGTGGACCTCAGAACTTCGGCCTAATGGTTTGTGACAGGCTCTCCCCATGCATTCGGCCTGGCCCGAGGATGAGACGGTTTTCCTAGGCTGGAAGCTTCTACAGGAGAGGAACTCTCCTGTTCTTCCTGGCCAGTGCCGGGTGTGTGGCCCCAGGCCTGGCAGGGCGGAAGTGGGGCTTGGAAAGTGCCCTAACCCGGTGTCTCCCCTGGCCTCCCGCAGCCCGCCCTGAAGATGTCGGCACCAGCCTCTACTTTGTGAATGACTCGCTGCAGCAGGTCACCTTCTCCAGCTCCGTGGGGGTGGTGGTGCCCTGCCCAGCCGCGGGCTCCCCCAGCGCGGCCCTTCGATGGTACCTGGCCACGGGGGACGACATCTACGACGTGCCGCACATCCGGCACGTCCACGCCAACGGGACGCTGCAGCTCTATCCCTTCTCCCCCTCCGCCTTCAATAGCTTTATCCACGACAATGACTACTTCTGCACCGCGGAGAATGCCGCCGGCAAGATCCGGAGCCCCAACATCCGCGTCAAAGCAGGTGAGGGACGAGGCGCGCGCTCGCCGACAGGGGGCGCTCGGGCCGGGGGCGTGGGCTGCGCATGTGCGCGCAGTGCTGTGGGCGGTGCGCGGGACACGTCGCTCAAGGACCCTTTTGTTGCTCTGCGGTATCGCTACTCCGCCACGTACCATACCATCGTGTGGCGGAGAAGACCCCGTGGGGAGCCTCAGTTTCCTCTTCTGCGGAGTTGAGGTTTGCCCCCTGCCTCGTATACCCACCTCATACCTTGATTTAAACCGGAGAGTGCTCGCTGAGTGCTGTTTGTAGCCTTTGACTCACAGAACACATTCGTTGACGTAGTTTATTTACTTATTTATTTTTAAAAGATTTATTTATTTATTTTGAAAGTCAAGAGTTACACAGAGAGGGAAGGAGAGGCAGGGAGAGAGGTTTTCCATCCTTTGGTTCACTCCTCAAAAGGCCACAATGGCTAAAGCTGGGCCCATCTGAAGCCAGGAACCTGGAGCCTCCTCTGGGTCTCCCATGTGAGTGCAGGGTCCCAAGCAGTTAGGCCATCTCCCACTGCTTTCCCAGGCATATTAGCAGGGAGCTGGATCAGAAGGGGAGCAGCCGCGACTTGAACCAGCGCCTATATGGGGTGGCCAGTTCTGCAGGCTGCAGGTTTACCCACTATGCCAGAGAGTCAGCCCCATCTATCATTTTTTTAAAAACCCTTTGCTGAAGTGCATTAAAAGTCTACCTATTGTAAATACACGGTTTGATGGATTTCCACAAAGTTCAACAAATACTTGAAGCCAGAAATGCAACATCAGCAAGTCAGAGGCCTGCCCTCCTACTTTTCCTGGTCACCGTTCCCCTGAGAGTTACCTCGCTCCTGATGTCTAAAAATACCAGTGTTTTGCATGTTGTTACACTTTGTGTGACTGGATCCTACGGCGCGAATTCTCTTGTCTCTCTTGCTCATCTGGGATTTGCATGCACTGTTGCCGTGGTGGCTTGTTCGTTCTCATTGCTGTGTGGCGGCATGTTGTGTGTCTGGACCACACTTTACAAGGCATGTTTTTTGTTTTCCCATAATATGTATTTTTCATGAGCTTTTTGAAGACCTCATGCAAGTGTGGGTTGCAAAAATTTTTGCACCAAATATCTTCTAATTCTGTTTCCCATAATTTTTTTAAAAAGTTTTTATTTATTGATTCGAGAGGCAGAGAAAGGTCTTCTAGCTGCTGGTTCACTCCCAGCTGCAACAGCTGGAGCTGGGCCAATCCAAAGAAGGAGCCAGGAGCTTCTTCCGGGTCTCCCATGCTGGTGCAGGGGCCCAAGCACTTGGGCCATCTTCTACTGCTATCCCAGGCCATCAGCAGGGAGCTGGATCGGAAGTGGAGCAGCCGGGACTCACAGGTGCCCATATGGGATGCCAGCATTGCAGGCAGAGGCTTAACTTATAGAGCACTGGCCCCAGAAAGACAGATATTACATTTGCTGATTTTGATTCCACAATAGGGGCTGATGTTGTGGCGCAGCGGGTTAAAGCCCTGCGCCAGCATCCCATATGGGTACCGGTTCTGGTCCTTGCCGTTCCTCTTCCCATCCAGCTCTCTGCTATGGCCTGGGAAAGCAGTGGATGATGACCCAAGTCCTTGGGCCCCTGTACCCACGTGGCAGATCCAGAAGAAGCTCCTGGCTCCTGCCTTCGGATTGGCTCAGCTCTGGCCGTTGTGGCCATCTGAGGAGTGAATCAGTGGGTGGAAGACCTCTCTCTCTGTCTCTACCTCTCTCTGTAACTCTGCCTTTCAAATAAATAAAATAAATCCTAAAAAATATATCCACAATAGGTAGGGCTGGCCAGCCTGGAGTGGGAGCCAGCAACTCCATCTGTCAGTCTGGGAATCCGGGTCTCCCACGTGGGTGTCAGGGACCCAAGTATTTGAGCCATCACCTGCTGCCTCCCAGGGTGCACATTAGGAGGAAGGTGGAATGGGGAGCAGGACTGGGAGTCTAACCCAGGCACTCCAGTATGGACGCAGGTGTCCGAAGTGGCGATAGCCTAACTGTTACATCAAATACCTGCCCCTTCCAGGAGCTTTTAAAAGTGCTCTCTTATTTGTCCATCTCACTGTTGGTGGACGCTTGAATACAACAGAGCTCCTGAGGACCGGCGTGGGATACAAGTAGATAAAATGTACCAAAAATCATGACAGAGAACTTAGCAGTGAAGAATCTGGATCTTCAGAAGAGTCGTGGAGGCAAGGAAGTGAGGGTTTCTCAGGTTGTCTCGATTCTCTGGGTTAGGTCTGGAGGTGAGCAAACAGCTTAGATCCGCCGTCCTTACGTAGGGCGTGATGATGCTGGTGTGTCATAGTCACTGGTGCGGTGTCTCTCAGACATAAAGCGCTGGTGTGGGGGTGTGATGTCCTTAGAAGAGCTGCTTCGGTGAGAGGACAGGTGCAGTCCAGCCGCCTGTGGCAGCCCCAGCCCTAGAGGGCACCATCTTTCCTACTGTGTTGGGCAGACCAAGAAGCCGGTGTTCTTGGGACGACCTCCCAGCCAGCGTACTGAGTGACATTGCTGCAAATGAGCCCCCTGGCTTCCTGGCTCCTGCTGCGGGAGGGTGTGCCTCTTCCAGGCCCCAGGTAGCTGGGAACAGGATGGTGGGAAGGTGAGAGCTCTGCCTCATTCTGTCGTGTTGTTTGCAGGGAAGCTGTGAGCTCTTGGAACCCAGGGCCAGGCTCTGGGGTTCTCTCCTGGGCTCCCAGGGACTCTCCTTCTAGGAGGGTGTCTGCACTGTTGCCCTAAGGCCACACCAAGGGCTGAGCCGGGAGCCCTGAGGCCTGGATCTGGGGTCCAGTTCTGGCTTTCCCTGCCTGGAAGACAGGGCTGGGGGAAGGGCCAGGCTGTTTCCTGGTACCTGCCTCTCATTGGGTTAGGAGGTAGTTTCACAGCAGGTCTGTAGAGTGTTCCTTACAGATGAGAGACTAAGAACAAAGAGAGGTTAAGCTGATGGCCCAGTCGCTGCCCACAGCCAGTTGGTCACAGAGGCGCTGCTGTAATGAGAAGCCACCTTGTCCGTGCTGGCCCTTTCACAGTTAACTGATGAGGCAGATGAGCCTCTGAAAGCTTAACTCCTCTGTCCAGGATCACACACGGGGCTGCAGGTGGGGAGGGGCTGCTTGTTTGGAGCTCTTATCCCTGATCTGTCGTGAGTGGCAGGTGCCACAGCCCCCGCTTTCCAGGCCACCAGTCTGTCCTCCCCAGGACCGGCTCCCCACAGTCTTCTGTGTATAAGAAGCTTGTCCCACATCTGAGGGAAGTGCCCTGCCCAGCCCTCGGCTGACCACAGCCCCAGAGCATCGCCTCCCCTCCCGTCTTCTCTCTCCTGCACCTCAGCTGTGGCCATAGCAAGGAGGAGGGGAAGGAATAAAGGCCTGGAGAAGGGCCAGGGAGGACCGGGCCAATTGGCAATTAAGAGGCTCTTGATGATGCCAGAGGGGCTGCAGGTGCACAACCTGGGAGGGGGCCACTGCCGGGACCCCAAGTGTCACCCTGGCAACCATGGTGGGGAGAGAAGGTGCCTGCTGAGAGACAGGGTGAGCCCCTGGGAGAAGCCCGAGCAGAGGAGGACAGGGCAGAGACAGGACCCTCGGCCCCCTTCCTAAGGTCGGGTCAGCCCACCCATGGGACCTAACAGGTGACAAGGGCCAGAACAGCCCTGGGATCAGGGCAGGGCATGGACCCTGGCTCTGAGGGGGTGCCCTGGAGACCCAGGCAGTGTCAGAGGTGGAGGAAGGCAGCAAGGATGCTTCGTTTTGGAGGAATTGGAGATTGTGTCCATGTGTCTGGGGTTCTGCATCCTCAGAGATGATGACAGTTTCAAACACTCCCTGCCATGGTCCTCACCCGTGACTTGTCCAGAAACTTCAGCACCTGAACTGCGTTTCCCAGGCTGCTGCCTTTCCTGGTGCTGTGGCCCAAAACTCTATTGTTGGATCACACGTCACAGCTTTTATTTTGGCAAATGGTCGTCTTTGGAGCCAAAACAAACACTACCTGGAGCCAGGAATAATGTAGGAAATCTGGGGCCTGGTGTTGTGCAGCAGGTGAAGCCACTGCCTCTGATGCCGGCGTCCCATATCGGAGCACTGGTTCGAGTCCCTGCTGCTCTACTTCTGATCCAGCTCCCTACTGATGCACTTAGGAAAGCAACAGAAAATGGCCCAAGTACTTGGGCACCTGTCACTCACATGGGAGACCCAGATGGAGTTCCAGGCTCTTGGCTTCAGCGTGGTCCAGCTCTGCCTTTTGGAGTCATCTGTGTAGTTAACCAGTGGATAGATTTCTCTCTCTGACTTTCAAATAAATAAAATACATAATTTTTTTTGAATGTAGGAAATCCACTTTGGTTTCCCTAGGGGAATTCCTCTGGTTGCCATTTCCGGGTTCAGGGGCTGCCGTCAAGCTCCCTGCAGTCTCACACAGACTGGAAAGGTTGAGCTTGCATTTCTGGGGCTGTCCATGGTGGGAGGGAAGGTTGCTGGAGAAGGAGTTACCTAGACAGGAAGGGGATTGTGGCAGGAAGTTCTGGGCTGGGCAGTGGGAGATGGGAGGGACCGGGGTGGAGGGAGGCTCTCGGGAAGGTCCATTGACTCTTGTTTCTCTCTCGCCCCCCTCATGCCCCCTCTTCTCGCTCCCGCCCCCCCCCCCATCTCTCTGCAGTCTTCAGGGAACCCTACACCGTGCGGGTGGAGGATCAAAGGTCAATGCGTGGAAACGTGGCCGTCTTCAAGTGCCTCATCCCCTCTTCAGTGCAGGAATATGTTAGCGTTGTGTCTTGGGAGAAAGACACCGTCGCCATCATCCCAGGTAAGACAGGATCGCGGGGCCGGGGCTGGGTGAAGGTGCCTGAGCTGGTTGTTGAGCTGATCAAGGCCTTGAACGTGGTCTGTTGTGTGGTGTCTCGTTCTTCTGGTGAGGCTTCAGCAAAACGGTGTCTTTGGTCTCTGCGTGGGGAGGTGGAGATCTGTGTGCCGGTGGCCTCTCCTGGGCATGCAAAGTGCTCCCCTCCAGAGGACCGAGCCACCATCCTTCCTATACTGAGGTCTGGCTTGGCTTTGCGCCGAGGGAGGGGTGGCAAGGCTAGAGGCAGCTCTTCTGTGGAAATGGCCAGGCAAGGAGAGAGGAAAGCTGGGTCGAGGTCTGTGTCGCCGCGGTGAGTGCCATGAACGAGCACTGCTGCTCCCGGACCTGCTGTGGGAGGCGTGCACGGGGCCTGTGCTATTTCAGAAGTTGGCTGCAGACTGCACCCATGGCCGATGGCAGGAGGTGGGGGAAACACCGCATTGCAGGTGCCCCACTTTGCAGCCGCCATGTGAGCCTTTCCACCTCTGAACCCCAAGAGAGAACCTCACGTCCTTAAAAGACCTCTCAGCCTCCAGGTACCAGGAGGGCTCTGCCACCCTCCCTCTGTGCTCGCACACTGCAGGGGGTCTGCTGCCTTGACCTTTGCTGTCCTGCCTGTAGAGTAGAGGGACTTGACCAGGCGCTCCTTGGGTGTGAAGGGCCTTGGCTGCCTGTGGGAGACGATTCTTGCTCCTCATTGTCTACGGGTTGGTTGGGGAAGATATGACTTCCACACATGGCACCTTTAAAAGCTGGGGTTCTTAATCCCACTCCCTATCCTAGCTCTGGAGAAGCTCCTTCAAGAGTACCAATGGTTATGCCAATCTCAAATCAATTGAGTCTAAATCTCTCAGGAGTAGGGCCTGGGCATCAGCATTTTCCAGTGATCCCTGGGTGATTCTTACTGTACAGGTAGGATAAGAACCAACGCTCAGGCATGCCAACAGCTAATGTGGAGACACTTTTTTTGAGACATTTATTTGTGTTTTATGATCGGTCCTTTTGGCCTCTCTCAGTTCCAGGCAGGTGGGCAGGCCATTATTTCTGTTGGCTTCAGAGCTGGTAGCAGGACAGGAATCTGAAGCTACTTGAGGATGACTGCCCTTGCTGTTTTGTAAAACCTTAAAACAATGGGAAAGGTGCGGATGGCTGTGGTATTGGTTAGTTTCCCATTACTATAATGAAATACCCAAGGCTGGGTGCCTTATAAAGCAAGGAGATTTATTTAGCTCATGTTTCCAGAAGTTCAAGGGCATGGTCTGGCATTGGTTTGGTACTGATTTTCGGCATTACAATGGTGAGGATGTGTTTGAGAGGGAGAGATCACGTGGCAGTGATATGGGGAAACTAGGTAGGGCCATAGGCAGGAATAGGTGAGCTGGAATCTTTGCCAGTCCTGCACTGTAACTCTGTTCCCGTACCTGTCAATCCATTACACCCACTGTCCCATGATGCACCTGGGTCTCACCTGGGACCAGGAAGGAGGAGATGCTAGGATGGCCAGATGGCAGTTTAAGTCTATGTTTTCATGGAGGCACCATGAAAACCCTAGAAAGCTGCATGTACTCTAACCTCCATCTCACTTGTATATTTAACTAGGATGCCACCCGCTGTCTCATCAGAGACTGACAATGTGGGAGGGGCCCTTCCTTTGCTCTTGACCATGCGTATGAGTCTGTCTCTGTCTTGCCCTCTCTCTCCTCCTCTCCTCATTGGCTCTCTCTGGCCCACTCATGATGGGCATCTCTGCTTGTGGGGTTGCCCACGCTCAGGCGTGAGTATATGTTCGCTCTCTTTAAAATAAGTCATGCTTCCACATGTGCACTGACTGTATTTATGTCTCTGCTTTGAATTTATCTCTGTGGTGGGCAGGAACCTGGTAAAAAGATTAAGATACATAGACCCATAACAGCAGGGCAGGAAGAGCCACCTGGGAGTCCCCTGGGAACCAGGAGAACTACTCTAACCCCTTCCTCAGTGCCCCGCCACCACCTAACATCCTCCCTGCAGACCCCACCTGTTACAGGTCCTGTCACCACCACAGGTAGGACCAAGCTTCCAGGACAGGACCCAGGGTAGGGGGTAGGGGACACACTGCAACCACAGCAGGTGTTCTGTCTGGAAGGGGAGCCTCTGAGAGCAAGGAACAAAGAGGAGGCAAAAGAGTGCCAGGAACAGGAATGGTGCTGGAGGAGGCTCTGTGGCTGCAGCTGAGGAAGCAGCTGGATCTCAAGGAGTGCCGTGTGATGCCCTGCAGGGTCTGGAACTGTCCAAATGAGGCAGGAGGTGCACCCCACAGGGACCATGTGGGCAGGGGTCACGGGCTGGTGGGGGTCGGGGGGAGTCCTAGCAATGTCAGAGACAGAATTTCCTGCAGAGTCGGATTTAAAGGGATTAAAGAATGTAAAGAAATGCAGTATTTCCTGTACACTTGAGTTTATAGACTAAGCATGATATCCATTAAAATAATTATTATATTCAAAGTTTTTTTGAGTGCTTATTATATATGCCGGGAACTGGGTTAAGAAACTTTTAAAAATGATCTCATGTTAGCCTCACGAAAAGCCCGTAAGTGTATTTTTCCTCCCTCCATTTTACAAAAAAAAAGGAGGCTCAGAGAAGCAAAGGAGCTTCTGGGTCACGGGTCCATTAAGCGAGGATAGAGGCTTGGATCGGGTTTGTTTTTCAGCCCGTGCACTTAACCCCACACAGCAGCGTCTCCCCACACCCACACAAATGCATCCAATTAGGTGTTACTCTGACTGCCGCCGTGAGCGCTGGGGCCTGAAGAAGAGGGAAAAATCAATGTTGATCTTTCAGGGAAGGCTTCACGGAATCAGGTCCACTGAGTGATTAAGAGCCCCAATCTAGAACCAGACCACTTGGATTTGGAACTCCTTCCATTGCTTACGAGCTGGGCAAGTAAGTCACAGACTCCCTCAGTTTCCCCAGCTGTAAAATGGGCCCCTTGGGTTGTAATTAGAAGGAGTTACTTACTACGTGGCCAATGCTGAGGACACAGGCTGACAGCTTCTGCGGATGGGTTGTGCTTCCTCTTGGTGCCTGCCGTTTCTGTGGCAGCGTTCTGCCGCATCCCAGTCATGACCCCCGCAAGACTGCGCACCAGGGCGGCTCACTGGCTTGTCTTCACCCAGCATCCCTGGCTCTTAGCTCTTCCACGGTCAGGGCACTCACTCAGTGTTCAGTGAGTGGATGCATGGATGCCGGGAAGAATTCTGGAGGAGTCTGGGAAGCCACATGACCGAGACAGTGAAACCGGCTGGGCGTGGTGAGCCTGGGGCAGTTAGGAGACCAGAGCCCACAGGAGAGAGGATGGAAGGCTAGCCAGCTCCTGCGCTTAGGAGCTAGAGGCAGTGAGCTCCCCCCAGGCGGTCCTTGTAGTTGGTGCTTCAGGGCCGTCTTTGATGTCAAGACTGGGCTGCTGGCCCCAAAGGGCATAATTATCAGGGAAGTGGCCTTGATGCTAATCTGCGGGGCTGTGTTCAACTCTGGTTCTATAGAACCCTTTCTTTCCTTTGGTCTTGCAGAATTTTCTTCCCCTGCCTAACTCTCTAACCCCAGCCATAATCATTCTAGATCCTTCTACAGCTACATGTTAGACCCAGGGCTGTTCCTCCCCAAACACACAGATCTAATGAGTCTGATAGCAGGAAAAGAGGGGTTTGCTTCCTCCAGGCTCTAGGTGAGGGACCAGGACTTGTGTCTACATGCCTCATACTTTAATTTTAGAAAGTTCAAATAGTTTGTTGATTTTTTTATGAAAACAGAATTTCTCTTCCGTCTCTATTCATGCTATCTCCAACGTGTGTGCTGTGCTGTGCTGTGTGTGCGTGTTTTGCAATGGGGAGGCTGGAGGGCAGCTTCTCACGGTGGGGAGAGATTTAATGATCAGTTGCCTTGGAGGCTGAAGAAGGATGGAGGAGCCAGTCACTTCCCTCTGACACTCCAGGGTCTGCTTCTGGGGCAGGGGAGCTGTGTTGACTTTGATCTCTGGATGTGCGGGGCTGGGCTCAGATTCTCCACAAACCACAGAGCCGGCAGGAGCAGGTGCTGGGAATCAGGAGGAGGTGTAGGGGAGGCTGATGTGATCAATCAGGGCCCCAAGAGGCAGCCCCTTGAGGAGAGCAGGTGCCTTGGGAGGAGGGGGCCCAAGGGCAGGTGCAGGCCCCTGTGAAGAGGAGCCAGCTCCTCCCCCATGCTGCTTTTTAAGGGAGTCTGGGGAGGATTCAGGGCTTAGGACTTAAACAGGCTGGGGAGTTGGATAATTGCACATGGGTTTGTCTTCTTGGCTATCCATGCCTATCCTAGAGTTGGCAATGGAATCTCTTACCGGGTTTTTGGTTGTGCTTTTCCCAGAGTAGGGGGAGGCTAAAGATACAGACCAAAGTGCTAACCGTCCTCAGAGCCACCTGCCACCGCTACACCTGCCTCCAGTGCCTCCTCCCACCCTGAGCTGGCCACCTCCCTTCACGCCTGCTGTTTAAAGATGGATAAATGAAGCGCAGGGCCTCTCACTTTTGGTCTGGTGGATCCAGCCCCTGGTTCTCTCCTGAGGGACCTGGTGTTATGGTGAACTGGCTCTCCAGAGCCCGTTGGGTGGGGGTAAGAGGGCCAAAGGCTGAGCACAAACATAAATTAAAATTAAGGCCTCCAGTGAAGCCGAGATGTGGTTTAATTTCCCATCTGCATGATCACCATTACAATGCATGTTACTGGATATAAAGATAAATCCGGCCCTGTTCCTAATAGCTTTTCATTTCCACCAGACCTGATTATATTGATGTGGGCTCCTTGTGGGAGTTTCCCAGCATGCTCTTCCCCAGCATCCTGAATGGCTCTGTCGGCCCCAGCGGGGGGTTTTGGACACTGCTCAGACGTGGCCAGATGTGTCTGCTGCTGTTCTGCAAAACCAGCCGGGAGGAGCTCCCCGCTGCCAGCCTAGG